TCGATCTACAGCACTGACCCTTCCCGTGATGAAGTACCACGCAGTCCAGGGCGCTCGTCCAAACGATCTCGGACAGCATCAGCTTCAGCGCCGCGGCGATCTCGACGGCCCTTTACAGTGTTTTATTCCAAACGTGCTGGCCGTCTATCGCAACCGTCGCGCCATCCTGCGCCATGGACGGAAATGTCTTTCCCCTTGTGCTCGTGGACGACCAGGTCACTATCATTGCAGGTGTGCGCGACATCAACGACAGTGAAAGCTAGGAGTCAGACATTTCAGACCTCGTTGCTGCGTTTCACCTTGTGTTTGAAAAGTTGCCTCGCTCTTCAGCGGATATGTGCGGTTGGCAATGCATGTGTGTCCTTGCCGCAGACTTTCGACTGGTTTAGCAGTCGTGCAAGCCCGTATTGCTGCTATGAACCCCCAGTATTTCGAGTACCAGATCGATAGAGGAGTGGAATGGATTCGAATTTACTCTCCGGGCATTTGGAGGCCCGTTCCTGAGGAGGCGCCAGTTCCTGACCCACTTTACGCTTCCACGTATCGGGAGTGGCGCAGATCATATCACTTCCGAGTGTACTGGTCTGAAGACAGCACCGGAGGCACCACAATGGATCCTATAGCCACGCCCAGTTCCTATGTGTCCTACCACGTGTGGGAGTACCGAGACTGGCAAACACGAGGGTACCAACGACTTGGACCTCCTGTACAATCCATCGGATTCGCGATGCTCGTCAATGCAGACGTCGAGTCCTCGGTGGGCTTGTCGGTGCCGGATGGGGCGTGGCGGGAACCGTCACCGCCGCCATTCCATGATCCTTGGAATGATTCGGATTGACACTTGAGTAGCATGTTGGATAAAGATGCGGTTGTGCTTGCTTTGTATGTGAGTTCACATTGGGTTGTCTTGCTTGGTGCTGTGCATGTCGTCTCTATGTGTCCGCCGCTTTCCGTGATAACTTTGAGCAGCTTGTCGGGTTGAAGTGTTCAATAGTACGGTGCAGGGTGCAGCACGATGGGTCCTACCTCGCTATTTTGACTATGACATCGTCAATGGGCCAGCAGGAACGAGTGTGGAATGGATTCGAATCTATGTACCGGGTCAGTGGCATCCAGTAGCCCCTGACACCCTGGGACCGGCCCCGTATCGGGAATGGCGCAAGGTCCACCACTTCGAAGTGTACTGGCCCAGGGAAAGCACAGGCGGCGCAACCACAGGCACGGTTCTGCAACCGGTATCCTACGCCACCTTCTACACTTGGTATTACAGGGACTGGGTCACCAGGGGGTACCAACGCCTGGGTCGTCCACATCCCAGCATAGCGAGGCCAGTTTTCGCTGCGGGTGCACCGGACCTCATGTATGCTGGATTGACCTCCTCCTCGGCATCATCTAATTCACATGATAGCTGATGCCCGTCCTCGCCTTCCTGGAGAGTCTGACTTTGATGCTGGCGCCGCACAGTGCTACAAAAGTGGTCTTTTGCATTATGATAGTTGATTTGCTTTCACTCGTCGTTGTCTGCAGCCGTACACCTATCAACTTGTCTTTCCGTGGTTGCGTTGTCATGGCGTGGCTCAACAACCAGATGCCCAGTGGGTCAAGATCTTTCATCCGGGACCATGGACGCCACAAGAAGAACATGATGCTCCACCTCCTCCGCATACTTTTAGAGAATGGAGGGAGTTCTATGCTCCCAACCAGGACTCAGTCGGAGGGCAGGTCCAAGTCACTACGTGGTACAAACGAGACTGGGCCACAGAGGGCTATCGGAGAATCGCTGCCCCTCACGCTGGTCATGAATTTGATTCCATGTATCCCTCCGATCATCACAGCGTGGCCACGCAGTCTGCGGCATTGAGTATGTCGCCGGAGCTGTTAGACGCGATTCTCAGGTCCTCGGATGCGGCTGATTTCTCTACTGAAGAACTGACTCGTCTCCAGGAGGGGATTTCTCAACAACTGACGGCCCGCGCACGTCTGGCTTCCCATCCTCATCAACCAGTACGTGCATCGCGTGGAAGCACACCATCGGAGACGATTGGGGTCTCCGACCCCTACCGGCCCGTGAATCCTTCCGACAGCGGCCGAGACAAGATGAGTCCCGTCTTCGAGCTGACTGAGGACTAGACTTGCATGAGCAGCGCAGCGTACAAAATAAGGGTGGTCTCTACACTTGCATGATCTTGCTTGGCTGTTGTTTGAACATGGTTGTGCATGGTGCTTGTTCATCTACTAGCTGGATCGGAGCCCGCGACAATCCTTGCCTCTTGCCTCGACATGGACATCGATGATTCGAAGCAGCACCCATGGCTCGAATATTCGGTCTGGCATGATCAGGAGTGGGTGCGGATATACACTCCAGGACAGCCTCAACGATGGCACCGCGGTGACGCCGTACCTGATCTACCTGAAAATTCTTTTCGTGAATGGCAGCGGGTGACTGATCCCGATGCGCCAGTCCAGGCATGGGACATCCGTGACTGGCAACACCAAGGGTACCAGCGCATCTCGGATTGAGTCCTTCGCAACTCACTATCCACATGATCAGACTCTTGGTCAAGTTCGAAACTCCGATGCCGTTCCAGTTGAGGAGACCTTCACCTATGCCACTCCGTTTTCTCATGGTGATCGCCCGGCTGCTTCGCAAATCGCTTCAGTCCTCTATGGCGACACTCGCAATGCTCAACGTGGTGATCTTTCGTTCCCGTCTTCTGAGCGGTTTAGGGCGGTGTCTCGCTCCCCTCGCCGTGGAGGATATTTTGGTCAACGATAGAGATTTGAGTTTGAGCATGTGATCTTCCTGCAGGAGAAAAGAGAAACCTCGCCCCTCGTAGAGGGGCGTGTGTGTGCGGAGTGGCAGAAAACCCTGCCACCAAAACCGTTTCTGTTGCAGCAGGGGGACCATCCATTTGCTGTGTGCGATGGTCCAACGAAGCGGCCACAGCAAATGCGGATATCGAGGCTGATCACCTCGACGTACCTGTGCATCTCGTGTGATTCAAAGTCCTTTTGGCCCGCTGTTTCTTTCGCTGTGTGTGCTTCATGTTGAATTTGTAACGTTTTCGCTGCTAGACGGAAGCCAAGTGACCGTGAGCCGAAACTCATCATACTCGAGACTTGTCGGTTGTACTCGAGACTCATCAGTTGTACTCGAAAGATTAGCACTCTCCATCTGGAGTTCAAGTGTGTGTGTGTGTGTGTGTGTGTGCGGGTGACGTACTCTGCTGCCACCACTTAGCTTTAGCCGTGATTTCGGGGCCTCTGCCTTCTCGTTCCGGTTTGTTTGCCGTCAGAACTTTTCGGGCCTCTGTCCGTCCTGCACATGTTTCCCTTCTTTTGTGGGTGTTTGGACTGTTGCTCTTTGAGTGTGCGTGGTTGCAAAATTTAAAGACAGGTTGAGGAGGCTGGTTCACAGTTTGTTGTACTTTGTAAAGCCGTCTCGCCACATAAGTCAATGCACTGCTTGTTTTGGAGCGGCTTGGGTTTGTGAAACTTGCTCACTTGCGCAGAATGGAGTTGTGAGGTTTTTAAAAAGCGTTGCCGGTGGTTTTGCGGTAGAGGGCCAGCAGGCTTGTCTTTGGAGCGGTTGGGCATTTTTTGGTCCAGAAGGTCTCCCACAAGGCCGCCCGTTCTTTTTGGGCCTTCTTCTTGTTGAACATGAGCGGGCCTGTTGAAGACCCGGTAGCCTCATTTTTGGACTGCGCCTTTGTCAAATTGGCTTTGGATCGTTCTCTTCGGCCTGGCTTTGTGGCACCTGCTTACTGCCTTTTCCACTTTCGAGTGCAACTGCTACGCGACTGAAAAGCTCGCTCTCCTACGCTCTTACAACGTCTTAAAAAAAATAGATAAAGAAAACAAACACCAAAACGCGTCCAAATCTAAGCCTGCCAGGCGGCCCTGAACATGGGTGAGCAAACATGGATTGTGGTTTGCGTGACCACAGCGGCGCTGTCAGTTTGCTTTGCCTGCAAAATTCCGGAAGCGCGACTTTCAGGGTTTGTGCGACAGGTGGAACAACTGTGCCACAGCAGGTCTTAAATTACTGGCACCGCTCAAACAGTGTAAGAAGACGGAAGGCGCGGGCTGGACATTGTGGCTTGTGATGAGAATGTAGTGCAGTTTGTTTCGCGAGCGTTTGCGTCGCCAAGCTGATGTTGGGCTACATCCCGCACGTTGTTATAACAACACAAATGTTGACAACGAGGCATCGGACCACCCCACCTTATTTGAATATTGCTCCATGCGTGAAGCTTTTCTGCAGGTTAGTATTTTTTTGTGTGAAAAGAAACCACTTAAACATTTCAGCTAAATGAAACATTGATGGTTTGGCAGCGGTCTTAATGAAACTTCCAGAAACATGGCTGGGTGGGGTAGGGTGGGTGGGGGGTGAGCGGGTGGGTGGGTGGGTGGGTGGGTGGGTGGGTGGGTGTGGGTGGGTGGCATTCGTCGCCAGACCAGCCATGGCTTGCCTGCAGAAAACGTCCAATCCCTTTTCGCCAATCAACGAGGAAGCGAGCAAGTGAAGCCAGCTCTTTTTTGTTGGGGTCTTGTAGATCCATCCCTCACCGGATTTTGAGGCTGTCAGGTTGCCCATTGGAATGAAGGTTTTTGTTACTTCCTTTCGTGTCTGCCGGCGGTTTTTGGTGCCTTTCGAACCCGGCCGTCGTTTTCTTTTTGTTTCAGTGGACAGCTCAAAGATGGCATGGCAAGCAATCTTGCTGCGAGAGATGGGAACGAGAAATGGAACGATTTCCGAGAAAACCATCCAACTGATGGTTGCCTAAAAGGGCCTGGATTCCTTCCCTCGTTTCCTTGCAGTTTGGCCGCTTCTCTCTCGCCGAACAGCTGTGGGCCATGTTGGGCCGCCACTTTTTCCATTTCTGGAGGGCTCCGGTGACTTGCATCGCCACCATTTCACGCTTTTGATGGACGAGCTGAAAGGACAACAATATCACACACAGTGGCAACCCTAAACTGTGCGACCTGCAGCTTTTTGGGCTTACACCGGAAGATTATCTTGTTGTTTGCAAACACCCTCCGAATCATGCGCCTTGGCAGCAACAAAAATATGTGTGGATGAAGGGCGGCCAAAAATGCATAGGCATGTGTCAGCGGTTGGCGACCGATTTCAAAGCAAAAAGCAAATCTCCCCGAAACTTTAGATGTGGAATGACTGTTCCGCTGCTTGTAAACATTCCTGGAATTGGGGAAGTGTTCGCCCCATTAAATCCATTTTACAAAGACAAATACTGCCGTGAGGTGGCCTGTGCTGCTGTTGCTGTTGCTGTTGCTGTTGCTGTTGCTGCTGCTGCTCCTTTGCTTCTCGTTTGCTGGTCTTCTGCTTGTTTGCTGGTCGTTTGCTGCTCGTTTGCGGCTCGTTTGCGGCTAGTTTGTAGCTCTTTTGCTGGTTGTTTGCTGCTCGTTCGCAGCTACTTTGCTGCTCGTTTGTGGCTCGAGTGCTGCTTTTCTGCTGCTTGTCCGCTGCTTGTTTGCTGCTTGTCTTCTGCCGTGCTTGTTGGTTGTCTGGTCGTTGAAATTCATCGTGGTTGCCGTTGTCGCTCGTCTTTTCTTCTCGTTGCCGTTTTTCTGGCTCTTCCAATTTCCAATTTTAGTTTTATTTCCTCTATCTGTAGTATGCTGAACATGAACCAATGATATTCCACAGGCGAGGGTTCTCTTTATTTTTCTGTTCGAGTTTTCATCTGAAGGAGTCTATCAGTAGCAAGCTCTCCTTTGTGCCTGTAGCAGTCGCGCATGTTTCGTTGCTACGTGCACACGCACTGGTTTTGAGTGATTGCACACATTGGCAACAAGTTTGACTCGCCGAAAACAAAATCATCCCAAAAGGCCTCACCGACATGCCTGTCAGAAAACGGAACATGTCCAAGGCTCCCCACAGACATGTCGGCTACAGGCAGTATCCATGTAAAATGTCCGCTGCGACATAGGGTTGTCTCAAGCTTGGGTCTCATTTGGGAAGGGTTTGGACGTCTTTGATCAACCAAATCCCAGCAGGCGGGAACTGAAGCCTCTGCAAGCGGCCTGGGTGGGGCTTTTCCGTACCACAGCTTCCAGTAATTTTCCCAGGCTTCGGTACTTGGGGCATTGTACGTCAGGGAAGTGGTGATCGTAAGCCTGGTGATAGCCCTGTGAACGGAGACTTTTTGCCCATAAGTAAGCTTTTGCCAGGCTTGCGATCTCACCACTTACCTGAGGTACAATGCCGCTTTAAGTAGGTTTTGCTGGTAACGCTCTGAGGCTGAAGCTGTTTTTGCTGCTGGGCGCTGCGTGGGCCATCCGCGATGCTCCCTCGCTGCACGCGATCATGGAGCAGGAGAAGACGGCGGGTATTAGACCATTGGTCTTTGTGTGATCTGGTTTCCCGGATGAGTGGCTCAAACATTTAAGGCCCAGAAAACCACTGATGTTGATGTCTTTCGAGTCCTCAGGGCATCTTTAACCGTGCGTTGTTTTGGGCCATGCGTCGTGAGATTGACTGACTAGGGCAAGCTTTGTTTGCAGACCCGAAGTCCAGGACTTTCTCCCGCATCCGTTTGCAAACGTGCGAGGTTTTGCGCTTGTCCCTCCAGTATGCGGCTCAGTGGCCTTGGTTTTCGAGGGCCAAGGCACAAGCCCAAAGAAACTGGAACACGGCCCGACATGCCATCTTTGTCTCTTGTGCTCAAAGCCTGGTGGCTCCAAAGTGGTTCCGGGGCCCCTGGAGCGGTTTCGTGGGGCTTGGGAGGAAGCCGCGAAGACCGCGACCACCACGGATATCACCATGGTGGTGGATGCCATGCACACCGGGGCCTGTGCCTTGGATATTCAGAAAGAGCTCTGAAGTCCTAACCCACCACTCACGATGGACTCGAAGGTCAGTTTTTGGGCTTTGGACCGTTTCAGGGGGAAACAGAGAGGTCTTTGACTTTTGTTGGCCAGTTTATTCGGGAAGTGAGGTACACTTTGGCATTTGGATAGATGGCTCAGAACTGTTGGCATCCGGCTTTTCTGCGGATAAGAAGCGAGAGAGAGAGAGAGAGAGAGAGAGACGGAGAGGGCTTCTTTCACATTGGGATTGCCGTGCGGCACGGCGGGTTCGAAGTTTGTCTTACATGCGCCTCATGAAAAGCCAAGAGAGTGTTTGCAGCGCTCCGACTTCTGGATCTTTGGACTTCGCGAAAAGTCAGACCCAGTAATTAGCACAACGAGAAGCGGTTTTCAGTCTCTGTGGCAGAATATAGTGCTCAAGTCGCGTCTTTTTTTTGTCCCCCGTTTTTTTGTCGCTCCGATTGACTCCATGACCGCGAAATCTCAGCGTTCGGAAACCGGCGAGGTACAAATTTCGGTCAGGACTATCGAGTCTTGCAGCTTGGATCTTCGATTTGGAGCGTTCGGTTTTCCTTTTGGTTTCCCATTGAAAACCAACGGAAAGGGAGTCCAGCATTTTGAGAAGCTCCCAAATGGCGACGGCTTCTGTTGCATTCCAGGATGATTCGG